ACACATAGTGCAATCCATAACTAAAAAGCGTGTTTCGGGGGACAAATGCCTATTTTAAGCTCTTAGAAGTTTCACCTACACAGGAAAATCCTGCAGTGTTACAGAGAGCCCATAGCAGCACGGGAGCGGTAGTGACCTCTTCATCTTTGAACTAAAAATAAAGCCAGACCATTTGTGGTCTTTCTTAGTCCCCTTACCCGTCTCACTACTTGCTATATTAACAGGATCCATGGCTGAATCACGGTTATCCTGTGCTTAACTGCAGCCAGGAAGAAAATTGTTGCTAATTGAGCACTTTGAAAAGCGGGGAGTTAGGGCAACATCTTTTGGTAGCGTGTAGCACTGTGTGCAGCTTGCTTGAAGACTCCAAAAGGTATTCTTGAATCTGCACAAAAGCTGGTTCCCACACAATTTTTTAGGAGTGTTGCCATTGATTGTAGAGAGAGGCTGTCCAATGACGCAAACTTTTAGAAACATTTGCACAAAATAATCTCCCTTCTGATGATTTTTTGTTTTAATATTAGATAACAGCTTGCACATTTATGCTTATTAACTATTTCATGTGTTCCGTTGAGTTATATTTCAATCTGCCAAAGATGTCAGCGCTCATCACCTTTGCCAGTCAGTCACCTTTCATGCATCATTTTTTAATTGGCTTTTTGGCAAACATGCTTAAAGAGATCCTTGGACTCAGAAATGTTAAATGAAATCTCTGTTTACAACTAGAGACCTTTCCAAATGCTGCTCAGCGCATTGAGATAGGCATTTTGCTGTGGTGCGTTTCAGCTCTGCAAGTGTAAGGTTGGCTGACTGCATAGGACCTCGCCCTGGAAATCCATGGGCACAATCTAGAAAATACCGAGCAGCCCCACCACCACCCCACCAAAAGATAGCCAGCGGTGAGTGATGTGCTCTCTTGGACTGGTTTCTCAAAGCACTGATGTGATACTTTAAGCCCAAAGCTGTATTTGCCTTAGGGCAGATCCTAGTTTATTCACACATTCAGCCTCAGCACTATTAGGCCAGACTAATTACTAACTTTTATTCTTTGTTGTTATGGGAAAAAAGCAGCCTCAGACAGGTTTTAAGCATGTGCTCAGCACTTCGCAGAGTTCATCATAATAAAATGTACCTCAGTAAACCCAACAGGATGCAATTATTTCCTCCCATCTTCCACATTAAAAGAGTATAAAGACACCTGCAAAGTCAGGTATTCAAATGCTAAGAAATGCATAAAGCTATGCATTGCACGAACACTTCGAATGACGCTGCCCTTACATCATTTCCCCTCTCCGCATATGCACTATCGTTAACAACATGGTCATATATTATTTTTTCCTGCCTAGGATTACACTGCCTCACTTAGCAGGGATAAACTCTTGGAAACCAAATGCGGAGTCCCTGTTCAGGGTCTGCGTGTGTGTTGGGGCGTGTTACCGGAGGCATTTGTTTCCCGACTCAAAATCTCTCATCTTCATTTTGTCATAGGCTGTTCTGTGCTGTGATGTCCACTTAACCGCTGTAGAAGCAGATGACTGTAATTGCGTATCAATATTGTATATGTTTACAGAACTTGTGACCCACTTTGAATTTTGACAGGATAAAAAGGGCTGCATGGCTATATTGGGATGCTGGTTGTGAACTACAAGGGTAAATCATGAATTCTATTCTAATTCCTTATGTTCAGTCACTCTCAGCTTTCTTAGTCTTTCACCCTGCCAGGGTGAAATTTTTCATGCTTGTTTTTTGCCAGCTTTGGGGAAGTTTTAAACAGAAACAATCCAGCCTGTTTTGCATGAGAGGACAGTGATGATGGTTTCCCATTATTAACAACAACAAACAATCTCGTTACCTTTTCTGAGTATCCCTGCAGCCAAAACAGCTTGAGCTTTGAATTTACAAGTTACCATGGAAATAGCTCTCAGAGAGAAGCCTTTTTTCCTATGTGAGGGTTGTTTCTCTTATTTAGGGAAATGTACATTCCCTCTCATGAATTTTATGTGCGCAGCAAGCCGATTAAAAATTCCTGTTACTCTAAGCAGAAAGCACAAACTGGAAACTTCCTGATTTGCAGCTGCTTTGCCTTCCCTGCAGTACCAGTGCTCAGTGTCAGTATTTCACAGTCTTCTATAATGTTGAAGATTGAACTCTGCCACCAGATTTCAGGTATATTCTTGTCATTTCTTAATGCCAAGTGAACGTTCAAGACAGAACAAGAAGCAAGGGAAGAACTAATCCCTCTTGGCTAACAGGAGCCTGCAGTCCAATGGTCAGATCCTGTAAGGTGCTGATCAGTTCTCCCGATGCTGCAGGTGCTGCTTCAGGTCAGCCAGCACTGCGCTGGGCGCTGGCACCGGCCGGGACTGGCCCTAAAGAAACCACAGGGAAATACAGCAGGCACAGTGAGGATGCCCTACAGTAACTTAGGTCTTTGCATTTCATGGCTCTTGAGTAAATGCTGCCTATGAGAAATTACGTAAATATTTTATGATAGATAGCCACCATATACTTTATTTTTACCATGCTTGATGTGCATCATCAATGCCACCTGCCTCCAGCTGATAGCTGCGAGGCTGGGGGGCCCTCTGCAACTCATTCTCCCTCTGATGGTTCCACACGCGAGGGCGGAGCGCGGATGTGTGGTGCTGGCCGGAGAGCCTCGGAGAGCGAAGGTTTCCGCTTAACCACTGCACACACAGCAGCCTCCTTCTCCCTGATCTCCCCGCGGCCTTTATGCACATTGAAAGATTAACACAAGAGGGAAGGAGCTAGTTGAGTGTGAATGTCGAATTTGAGAGAGGCTCAAAGGTGAAGAAAGAGCGAATCAGACCGGGCTAAGCAAGGAAACAAGGAACAAGCTGGGGGGAGAGAGTAGGCAGGGAACCAGACTTGGGAGGCCGAATCGTGGTGTGAATGGGGAGCCTGGTAGGGAGGACTGAGTCGAGACAGGTAGGAAAGGGAGTGCTGCTGCTCTGGAGGCCTGGGGGACTGCTTGCGGTGTCAGAAAGAGGAAACTAGCTGGAGCATCGTGAGTTCAGCGTGAGCTAGAAAGCAGCTGCTACCTGAGACGGCTGCTTTAAAGCTATTTAGGGACTTCTGTGCTTCTGCCTGCCTCACCCGGTGCCATCCACGCAGACGTAGTCCCCCAGTGGATGAGGAGTTCAGGGGAAGAGGGAGACTGGGACTGACAGGGCAGAAGAATCACGGTAGGAGCCAAGACTCGGGAAGGATTGGTGACTGTCAGTTAGAGGGATGTAAGAGGCGGGGACCGGCTGCCCGAGGCAGCTGGGATGGAGCGGAGGAGCCCACTGGCTGGAGATGAAGACTTGCTAGGCAGGTTTCGCTGGGGGATTTCTGAGCCCAAGCCCAAACCGTGAGCCTCACGGGACTGAAAAACACGGGTGTCTCATACCACTGAGCAGTTCTGTTCTCACTAAGCTGTTGAGGCCTGATTCTCTCCTCACGTTAGTGTAATGCAGCTGCAGGGAGCTACTCCTGGCCCACAGGCTGGTGCTAGCAAGCCAGAGTCCCATAGAGCCGTCTTCTCATTCTGGCTTCGTATGATGCAGACAGGTAGCTCCCCACAGCGACTGCTTGCTAGCTGAAGATTTGTCCTTTTACAAGTAATTATGGTAGTATTGCCTTATTATGTTATAATTAAGGAAGTGAAGAAGGCAGGAAAATAAAAGACAGTAATTCAGGATAGAGCCAGGAGGCCCATGTGCCAAGGTGATGGGCAAGCACGCATCTTTCTCTGCACGTTATTACTGGAGGCTGATGAGTGAAGGGGTGTCATCCCTGAACCAGGGGGCATGCTGTGGATACTTAGCAAAATCCATGCTCTGTAATGAGAAAACTACAGGAGAAGCTAATAATTACTTGAGTGTTTAATATAATGAAGAAGAGAAAGCTGCAGTATCAACTGTGTTCTGAAGATACAGATTTAAACCTGGTGTCAGGTTTTCTTTGGTGATGTGGTACCAAGGTGTCCTTATGTTACTGAGAAAATAGCTCTCTGTAATGTAGGCGCGCATGACTACTTCTGTTCTTTCAGTGGTTTGGCCAGGTTTTAGGTGAAAACAGACTAGAGAATCAACAACATTAATATCTGTAAAAATGTACCCTGCCTCTGCGGAAGAAAACTAGCAGACCTGTAAGCTTATTAGTTAAAAAGGGCCACAATCTCCGCATGTTTTATATAGAAACCACTACTGCCTGTTAGAAGCCTGTTGGCTGGCTGTAGTGCTGTGTGCTTGTGCAAGCAGTGCCCTGCTGGTGCGGGGCTTTACTTTATCGACAGCGCAGGTAAGAACGATGCCGGAGCAGGCGCTGCGCAGCATTAGGAACGGAGGGTGCTGCCTGGAGTAGCCAGCTTTCCTTAGGACTGGAGAGCTCCCCAATTTACTGCTTTTTCTTTTCCTTGTTTTTAGGCAGTTTAGCTTTTTCTTTTTTAAGTGAGCTGCAGATTTAACCGAGTGTCAGTTTCAGAAATGTTCACAAAACTTCCACAAGCAAAAAAGAAAAAAAAAAAGAGAACAAACATGTTAGCGTTCTGCTTTGAGAGGTGCATGAAAAAGAAGACACCTCTATCTTTGATCTGTATGTACAGTTACAACAGGTTTTGTGTATGCCTAATACTCACAGCCCCACCTGATCCACGTGTAATGATTTGCCTAGTCACAGAAGTCTAACCGGAGCCTGTTTGCTAGGTTGGCACCTCCTCAAAAACAAAACCAAGAAATATTAAAACCAGTCAGTACTGTTCATCTTCCTCAGCAAAGAGAATGGGACAGAGGTGGCTCACATCAGTGGATTTAACACCATTAGTTCTTTTTTGGGGCATTATTTTTTGACTGAACCAGCAATGTCCAACAGACTTCAGTAAAAATCCAGGTCTTAAATTTTCCTTGAGTTAGACTTTGACAGCCCCTTCGCTCCTGGTGATTTTCCTTCTTACCTCCTCCCAACTACAGGTCTGTTTTCTCCTTCCTGAAGAGCCAGCCTCATTTCTGCACTCTTCTACCCCAAGAGAGGTCTTTTGAGGGAGGAAATTAGGTGTTCATGTGTTCCCTGCTGGGCTCTTGCCTCTCACTGAGCCCCCTCTTGATGTCGGCAAAAAGCTGGACAGTCCAATGGCCCTCCTCACCTAAAAAGACAAAAGCCACCTATTGCAAGCGGTAGCTAGAAAAGAGAATGGCAGAGCTGACTGAGATGGTGATTTACTGAGGTGTGCTTTTTGAACGGTTGTTCAGCCTGAATGCTCTTGATTGTTCATATACAATAGGCCTGATTTTCAAGAGGGGACGAGTCCAGGTAGCTTCGCTGGGAGTCAGCAGGAGCTGCCGGAGCTCCGTCTGTGTAAAGCTCGGGGTGAGCTCCGTCTGCGTAAAGCTCAGGCCCGGGCGGTGCTGAACGATGCTGCCGGGGCAGACGGAACCTAGGAATCAAACACAGTAAGAGTTAAGCCAAACTTTGATTGCCAACTCAAATCACAATGTGTTTGGAGTTCAAACAAGTCTGGGATTTTTTTTTTTATTTAGTTGTAATTTTTTCTTTCTTTTTTGAGATACAGCTGCTTGAGAGTTTAAAGGATTAGAAGCCTGAAATGCTGGAAATCTCACAGGAAAACCTGCTCTTAAAATCTCCAGCTCTGAATCGGATGAATATCTGACCCCTTGGGCTCCTATTATTTTCTGTTGAATTTTTCTGCAGTAAGCATTTTCTAGCTAAGTATAAAAGACTGCTATCAGAGGCTCAGCGTTTATATCTGAACTGAAGTCAAGTCACTGAGAAGTATCATGGCAGCTTCATAAGCTTAACTGAAGGTCTTCGCAGGCGTTTGGGTTCATCAGAGCACGGTCAGGAATAAGTCCTGATGGAGTGGCTGTGAGGCTGTGGGACAGCAATGCCGTTAGTATTTCTGTGTGTGCATGACCTAACTGTCAGTCAAGGAAACTGTGCAAGGTGCTGTATGAAATAATACGGAAATAGTTTCTGCCCTGAGCTGCTAATAATCTTCATGTGAGGCGTTTTGATTGAGGAGACACAGAATGAAGCGGGGGGACTACGGGTTGGCGGTGAGGTCAGCTTACCGGTGAGCTGCAAGTGTCGATGTATTGCGAGTCAGCGCAGCAGAGCGTGCCTTGAGGAGGAGCTAGCTTTGTGAGTATTTTATTACAAGGGCCTTCTCTCAAACAGGACAGTGGAAAGTGCAAAAAAACCCATAGCCTTATCACTGAAGTTTTGACAAGCTGGAGGCTTTCTATGGACTAGCAGGGAATTGGAATGAACATTTTCATAGCGACTGAGAGATGGTAGAAAAGGTGAAGACTAGTCATGAAGATTTTGGAAACGGGTTGAGGAAAAGGCTGTGAAAATGCTGAAAATAAAGGAAAGAAACTTATGCTTGACAGGAAAGAGAATAAGCAGTCAGCAGGGAAGACTCAAAAGAGAGGGATAAGCAGACAGAATAGGGTTATATTTATCAAGGTGATAACCATAACAATATGTCGAAAGTCTGGCAGTGCCTCTCCTAAGAACACTTGAAACACTGAAAATAAAGACAAGAAAATTACTAGATCATTTCATGCAGGAACACATCCTTCACAGTTACGAAAAGACGATGGGATAAGGTAGATGCCTTTCTAAATCACTTTCCTCTTTAAATTTCTATAGGAGCAAGGCGAGGTAGTAAGTAGAGGTTTGGGACCCAAGAGCTGTACGTTCCAGATTTCAGTCAGTCCCAGAGAAAGGAAGACAGACACACAGAAAATACGCAAACTAGCAAAGAGGCAGTCCTTTCACAGACACCATGTCACCTAAGGGTTTCCAGAAGACAGTTAAGGCGCCTGACGACTGACCCAGAACAGGTCAGTCCCAGTGCTGTACTTAGACTGGCGGCACTGTACTGGGGATTAAATTAAGCAGTGATTTAGATGTCCATTGCAAGACTCATTCTTCTATTTCTCGGTACAAGTCTTCATAGTGCTTTCTGGTTACTGCTTGTTTCTTTCGCGAAATTACTTTGATGTCTCTTGTGATTGTCTCTCTTGACACTTTCCTACATTCTGCAGACACAAGTTGCGATCTGCCTGGCAGTTCTGCAATTGCTCTGACACTTCAGAGAAACCTTATATGCCATCAGTCACTTATCGCTGCTTTGAATTTGCTGGCAGACCATGTGCCACTCGTACATTCACTGAGGAATTGGCTTTCTCTTCGCTGGCTTGTGGTTTGGGGACCACCTGTCACAATCCCTTATTTTAATCCTCTTTTTTTTGTGATTGCACTGGCAAGATTCATCGCGCCATAGCACAGGGGTAGTCTGCAATAACTGGTGTGGATGTCTCATTGTCAACCATGAAACTGTGCCTTGAGGAACAAGGGAAGACCCCAGGGATAATGCCTGTGAGCACGGGCTGCCGAACCCCCACCTCCAGGCTATTTGTCCGGATTTCTCCCAGAACAATGTGTGAGCAAACCCTGTGAAGCTGAGTGGTGTTTGTTGCTTCAGTTTCACATTACAGCTCTGCCACGCGGAGCGTAATAAAAGCAGAACTCAACGGGATACAAAACCGTGTGATACAACGGGGATCAAATCCTTTTCTGATGCCATTCTCTCCATTTCCCTCAAAGGTGCACACGGGATGGATTTGGCCCTAGAGGTCAAAAATGTCCTGACAGCGCCCATGTGAGCACAAACCAATGAGTTCTGCACGGCGCGGAGAGATCGGGGAGGGAAGGCAGCCGGGAAGTGCACTGAACCGCAAGCACTGGCACGTATGGTAAAACTGGTCACTCGGAATTTAGGCAAGGGGAAATATTTGAAGAAGATAAACCATAAACCAAACCTTTGCCCTCGCAGAACCCAAGCTTTTCTAGAAATTTAGAAAAGTTCAATTCACTTAGTATTTTTGCTATTTTACATTTCTGCTCCCTGGCCATTAAAATAAGAGCTACGCTGAATGATTTCTGGGTAGAAAAGGAAGCAAAGTGGCCACATTTCACTGTCCTATGCCCAGGGAACAACAGAAGATGTGGAGAAACGAGGTGTCCTCCCTGCCCCGTTCATTACCAAGAGGCTCAGATCATTTTAAGGGGCATTGGTATTTCTGGATACTTAAAGCCAAACCTCAAGGTGAACCTCTGAACCTCTTTCAGCTTGACCGTTACTTCTTATAAGTGATGTGTTAATTTTCATCTAATGCCAAGAAATGCCTTTCATTCTCCCCAGCTGGCATCAGAGATAAGGGACTAAATCCCCCAGACGTTAAAACATCGAACAGTTCTGTCGTGTCACTTTAGTCTCCTGCTCAGAGTCTTTTTCCCGACCGACCTCAGACACAATGCAAAATAATCACTGAGCAAAAAAAGGGTAGCAATATTTAAACTGTGGCTTTGAAGTTCAGCCCATATCCTGGGCTGTTGCCCTTCCTTTTCCAGCCATCTGCGAGGTGTCTGTCCTGAAGGGTTAACTCAGGCTGTTAGGCCGGTCCTAAAATGGCTCATCTGTTACATCAGGGAATACTCGTAGGATGCACTAGCAATTGGTTGTGGGTTACAAAACTGCGCTCTCGCTAAGATATCTCATTGCTGATCCTTTTGCCCCAAACGAACTAATAAACACCAAGGTGTGCTCATTCACATCGTAGTTTTGCTGGCATAACTGTTCCAGTCCCGTACCACAGCTCCGTCCCAGCCTCGGGTATAGCAGCCGTGTCAGCAGAGGTTTGTAGTGTTGCCGGTTGTTAGTCGAGCGCCAGACGCCTCAAGTGTGTGCCCCAAGTGTGGGGCTCACTAAGCCAGAGCTTACCTTACCTTTGAGCTGGTGACGTGCTGGGCTGCATACCTCTTTAGTGCCTTCTGCCGTTAACTTCCAGTTGCCCCCCAACTCTGAAAACTACTTGTCACTGAAGCCTCGCGGGCGGCTCGTACGGGAATTTTAGCACTTGGCCAGGGCCAGTCCCAAGCCTCGGCCCTGCTCCCAACTCCTGATTGCCCATGCACGTGCTCCTTAAATGACAGTACCATTGGTGGGCTTTCAGCGCACAACAGAGAAGGAAGGGAAACATGGAGAGCTGCACAGAGATCTCTGCAGAGCTCTCTTCTTGGTGTTGGGGATGATGATGAATGAAGAGCTGCCAGGGAGGGGAAGGAAGGTAGCAAGCAGTCCTTCGTGATGGAAATCTCCTTCTCCAGGAGCCAGCAGCTAAAGCTAGAGATCGGTGTAGCTTTCTTGAACATCAAGCCTTGCAGAAGGCCTCTCTTAAGCAGGTATCTGTTTTCACCCTGAATGAGTGTGCATCAATTGCCACCATAACCGATACGGCTTTTGCATGCTCTGAGGAGATACTAGACCTTGTTCGGTTCATAGAACTCGTAAGCATCCTTATCTCTCCCAAGACGCAACCCAGCACAACATCAAGGTAAACCGGACAGGTACAGGCAGCGGCTTGGCACTTCTGTGGACAGATCAGCAACATGGCAGCAGCCTGACAAGATACACCTCTTCTCTGAAAGAATACAACTCTGACCTTGTGTCTAAGCAATAAAATCCTCCCTGTGTTCTCTTCCACCAGAGGGTGCCAGTGGCTGAGAAACCACCGGCCTCGGCAGCCCCTTGCAAGACTGCAGAGACCCCTGTGCTCACCGGGTATCCTCACGAAAGCGTGGAATACACATCGCTGATAACATTTGCATTTACTTTTAGCTCTGTCCTTGGAAGGAGAGATGTTGTATGTTGACAGAGTTCAACAGAGCTGGCACAACGCCCCGGCGCAGGCAGGGAGGTGATTGGAGAGAAAAGGCCCCATTTTCTGTTCCAGGCATCGGCTGCACCCCTGCTGTGAGATGGTGAGAAGGGACGTGGTCGACCCCCGGGGGATTTTCAGAATGCACAGCTTGCTTGTAGCTCTTGGTCACACTAAAGCACCTCTTCGTATCCTTAACCAACTTTAACATTAAGAGTCTTCTAAGGCCTCTTTCACATTCCCCTATTCCAACCAAGGGAAAATTTAAAGTTCCCCACCTGAAATAAAACTTCTCAACTTGATAAATCAGCAGCTGAAGGTTTGGCCTAAAATCTTTTATTTCTTTGACAGAGAAGATAAAAATATCTCAGTTTTTTCCATTTGCCGTATGTATTCACCTGTCCCATTAGCAGCAATGGCAAATTTTACTACCTTTTTCTCCTGTCGCCTGTCTAGAAGGACCAAAGCTAGGCAACACCAAGCTGGAGCCCGTTTTGTCTTGCATATCAGCATATGCATTACACAAATTTCAGTTGCAAAACCAGCGGTGCAGTTGCCTTGTTTTCAGACCAAGCCATCAATTCCCGGAGTCCCACTGAAAGTAACAAGGTCGCACATTTGAAATAAAGGGCATTATTTGGTCTGCAGATCCTCGTTAATTATTAGTGTCTGGGCCGAGTGTGCAGAA